ACCGGCTTCCTAGTGCTACAAGAGCCATCTGTGGACTCATTCGAGCCGTGGTGCTTACGACTACTACTACTACTACTACTTCTTATGGCTGATGGCTGCGCGCCACAGACACAGCAGGTACTGAAAGAGCAGAGCTCTAAGAGGTGCCGCTGAGAGTTGTGTTTGTATGAGAGTTGAAAGACAGTATGATGTTCACATAGGCTCCTGTCTTCCAGACGTGAGTTCCACCAGCTGGGTGGCCTGCTGGTTGAACCTCTGGGTGCAGCCTTGGACTCGGCCCCGAAAGCTGTTTCTGCTGTTGTTGGGACGAGGGCTGCCGCTGCACTCCCAGGTTTGGGCCCTCAAGATGGACCACATGCGCCAATTGAAGAATCAAGGGCCAACCTCCCAGACAAAACGTCCAGGAGCCATCAGCAGCCGAGCAGCCGAGTGTGAGATCTTTGCTGATTCCAGGTCAGACCTGGTTGACGATCGACTTTGGAGATTGAGTCGGCATTTGGATGGCTCCTTTCTGCTACTGCTGGTCGCGCCCTCAATCTTGGAGCATCGTTTTCAAACAAGCTCTTACGTAGAGAGGGTGCCCGCAGTAAAGTATTTGCCGTCTGAAGTGGAGATCACCGTCCTGAGGAAACCCAAAGAAGGACCCACGCTGCCGAGAACTCCCATATCGCAAGACTGTAGATCACCCCAGCAATAGAGGAGCCACGCGCTACAAAGAACGGAGCACATTGACCCTTGACCTCAGAATGACCTCAGTTGAGCCTAGTAGGAATCAAGCTGTGGTGCAATATGGCTGTATGAAGGGGGCAGGAGAAGGTTATGAATGGTGCCACAATAGAAGGGCAACCATGACCTGTCACGGTTCTGTGTATATGAGGCCCAAGGCTTCGCGCATCTGCATGAACATGCCTCTGGTTCTGAGCTCAAGCTTTCTTTCCCAGAGAGAATGCACAATCATGGTCAGACTCGCAGAAGTATGGAATGGGCTGAAAGCAGGCCCGCAGATGGTTCAAAAGGCCGAAGCCTGATGTGGCAGAAAAAAGCTGCCGTTTATCTTGTGGAAAGGTGAGGGAGCAGGTCGAGTTCCTGCTTGCCGGATGCCAAGCTGAGCTTCTGAGATTCTGTGGCTCCGTGTGGTCGCCGCATCCACTTAACTTCCAGTTGGTGCTACAATCCCTGAACACTCTTCTCGGCTTCTCACATAATGAGCATCTTCAAATCTTGGTACGGCTATCACATCTACGACGTGCATCTTTTACTAGGAAGTTGGGATGTTGGTGGCCTCACTAAACTCACTAGCATCAGATGTCAAAAGCATGCAGATGTTGTGGCTACCTAAGCCGGTGCAGAGTCAGGGATCGATCGTGCGCGTGCCTATCCTGCAGATGTTAAGGTTATGCCTAACAATCAGACTGCTGATTCTTGGGGGCTAAGGCTGACTGGGTACGCAGTGTGATCAGAGTTGCTTGTTGAAGACTTCCTAGTCAGTCAACCTATTCAGCAGCTGTTTCCAGCCAGTCTGCGCAATCATGTGGCCTTGGCATCAGGTCCTGTTGCAAAGTCACTCGCAGCAGCTCATTCATTGCCTGGCGCTCGGGACTCCCATGCAGATTGCTGGTGCCAGAGAAGCGGCACAGGCTTGTATTCTGTCATGTTGACAGAATTGATCCTTTTTCCTGCGTAGCGTTGGGCTCTAGCAAGCACTCGGCTGCCGGCTTCTACAAGACGGGAGAATGGCGGCCTATATGTTGTGGGCATCTCCTGGAACGCTTTCGAGGTGAAGGCGGCTGTTGGCCTTTGACTGCTTAAAGAGATTGACCTCTGCCGGCCTGTTCCGGAGGATGTTGAATGTGGTGCTGCTTTTTGTCGCAGGGTTGGCACGTGCGTGCCGGTCTTGGAGAAATCCAAGAAGTTTTGGTTCTTGCGCAAAGCCGATAAAAGCGTGACTCTTGAGGCAAGCTGCTCCTTCCAACCTGCTAGCGGCTGTGAGGGAGAGCAATGCAGCCAGCTTGCGCTGCCTGCCGAGGAACGATAGCATTTTATCATGTGCTTCGTAGGCTTGGCATGGATGCATGTTCTCTGGCTGAGGTCAACTTCTGGATTGGCGCAGTGATGTGTCACAGAGAGACCTGCAGAGGCATCCAAATGTAAATGACGAGCAAACAGCCAGACCATGCGAAAAGCT